CGTAGCCACTGTGAACCTTGCAAACCTCACACCTTGTTCTTCTACTGCTTCCACCTTAAGAGGAGCAAGGTCGACGGTAAATGAGGATGGGTTCCCTGAAACAAGGCAATGGGAAGCTGTTTAAAGCTTATTTGGAGTCTGTTCGCCACATCAAAGACAAGTACATTTTGGTGCAATCTTCTTCGAGCAAGGCGATGTTGAACGTCTTCAAGATCGTTCTAGCGCAAAACGAGGATGGTACTCCCCGTATGAATGAGATAGGAGACCCCGTAGTTTAACTGATTTACAAGTTCCCGTTCCAATGGACGAGGAAGCATTTTGATAGTGAATTTGGCTCCTATGTCTGGAGAGAGGGGGAGCTCAGAGCCGAGGACCTAGAGAGCTTCGCTGTCCTGAATACGTTAGTGGCTCGGATACCTCACGTCCAGCAAGTTGGCTGGGGAGGCAGGCCTGTGATCGACAAGAACGAGGAGCGTGTATACGAGTCGGACCTCATAAACATCAAGTAGCTCCTCAGAAGTAAGGACCCCGTTAAATACTTGGGTATATATATATATATATATATATATATATATATAGGTCGTCGTTTACTGACTATGTTTCTTTTTGTTTGTTTTGCAGATAGCATGAATCCCGCTCAGGAGCGTTTGGCCAAGACTCTTGCTGCCATAGCGAGGAGGGCTCAAAATGATGCACAACAGGGCCCGCTCCTGCCTCGGGGACGGGCGAATCATCCTCGGCCTAAGCTACAATCGTTCTTTCTCCTACCGTTGTTTCCTCGAAAGCAAAGAGGTCGCGTCCCGAGGGGAGCGTCGACCTGACTGGGAAAAAGGGGAAGGGAACATACGACTTGTCCCCTGTTGGCTGGAGAAGTCTTTCTTCAAGGGCATAACTCTCCATCTTCCCCGGGACAAATTCCTTCATCTTGAGGGAATGGGCCGCCCGGAGAAGAGGGAGATACTGGCGGTTTGATGTGGACCTTGGAGATGGAGGTTGCATATACCGAGGGAAGTCCCTCTCAGGAGACAAAGTTGAAGAATCTTTGGGCCAAGCTGGATGCGAGGGAGAAGGCCTGAGTCGAAGAAGAAAAAGTCCAGAAGCTGTCTGATGAAGAATCAGGGAGGCTCTGCGAGAAACGCATGGTCCTCTTGCTCGAGAAAAAGGACCTTGAGGAAAAGGTTGCGGCCTTGACTACCGAGACTACGCCTGGTGAAGACGAGCTGAAGGATACCAAAGATCTGAAGACTCAGGTTGAGATCGTTGCTCGTTTTCAGTTGGCTGTGGATGACGCTCAGGCTGCTTTCGAGGGGAGCTTCGGAAACACTATAAAGCAGATGCACATGTTAAACCCCGATGTTGAGCTCAATACCTCAAGAATGGGGGTCAATTATTACGTGGATGCTGGTAAGTTTCCAGTCCCTGGTTATATCAAGGAGTTTGTCGCTCAGCTGACCAGGGGTCCTGCCCAACTATCGCCCGTTGTTGAAGGAGAAGGTGAAGTATGATTGTTCTATGTTTAGTCCGGCCTACGTGCTGTATTTGTTGTATTTTTGTTTCTCCGGGATTTTGTCTGTTTATGTAATTTTCGAACAAGCATGGTCTCTGGCCATAAATTCATTCTTTTTGGATGGGGCGTAAAAAGCATCTTTGTTGTAATATTCACACATTAGCAGCCCAAGTGGTCGTTTGCTTTGAATATTTAACTTGTGTTGTTTACATGTTTGTTGACAAACTAGCCCCGTTTAGGATATTTTTTATTTTGCTAAGAGTTTATAGAGGGGATTTTCTTGTTTGGTATGTTCGTCAGGGTGAGGAAACTGATCAAAAGGCCATGGTGAATATCGGGCGTGGGCCAGAACCCAGGTCTCGTTTCGAGGGACCCGAGTTCGGCAGCGTGAACTTCCCATCGCGAGTCGGGCGTTCTACCGTCGTGGCATAAGGACTATGGAGCTCGGTCGATTTATTCATGTCGGCTTGAAAGTGCGATCGTCATAAGAGCGGAGCCTCGCCCCTTCTGAATACTTTGGGTGTTATGCTTGTTCCTAGGCATGCACGCATGGTCGGGCATGGGTGAGTTTGTCTTATCGACCAAAATCTCCGAATGCTTAGTGTCTTTAACTGTAATATTGTTTTAGCTTTTCAATGTTCCATGATCGAACGAGTTGTTCCCCTTGTAATGTTTCCAAGTAATATGCTCCAGTCTCCGTTTTCGCATAGACGCGATAAGGACCTTCCCAGTTTGCTGCGAGCTTTCCCTTGCGAGATTATTTGTGATTTCTCTTTAAGACAAGGCTTCCGACCTCAAGCTCTCATCGTATGACCTTGGTTTCGTAGCGCATGGAATTTTTTTTTTGAGCGAGGCCTCTCGTAGGGCCGCTCTTGTTCTGATTTCTTCCACCAGATCCAGTTCTTCTCGGAGAGTAGCATCGTTCATCTCCCCGCCAGGGGTGCCTCGGTTCGCCTGGAAGGTGTAATACCCCAAATGTTTTCTACCCTTTCACTTTTATCTGGGTTAGGCATCTCGCACTTTTAGCATGCATATAACTTTGATTAGGTCATCTAACACATCATGCATCACTGATCAGTAACTTGGCAGGGGATCAAGGATCTTGAAGTTAAGGTTTTCGTTTGTTGTAAGGCTCTTATTTTCACACAAGCTTGTTTCAAATAGTTCTTTCATCAATTTTGGTTTGTGGAATTACAGTTTATGATCATTGAAGACTTCTTCTTTCATTAAGATACAATGTTTTCATCAAAAGACTAATCCCTCTGTTCAAGTTACTTCTAGAAACAAGCGGATTACGGTTAGCATCTCATTAACTGGAGATCATTTGGTTTAGGACACTGGTTTTTTCAAGTCAAAGTATTGTATGGATAGAATTAAGTTATGGTATAAAGGCGACTGGATGGATTTATTAAATGCTTATTTCTTCAATTTCTTGGATTTGGAGAAGTCGAAGTTAGGGGTTCAAGGTGATTTGGAACTTTCCCATTAATATTTGAAGTGAATCAAAGTTGTTAAACATTTGAGAGGGATTTCTTGGAGTTCAAATTACAAGGCGTGTATGAAATTCACTCTTTTCATCCTAATCAAAGTATCATCCAAATATTCATTCAAGAATTCATTCGAGATTTAAGTCACTTTTGATTACCTTGCCAATGTTTTGAGTTCATACCATGGCCGTTTGAATTCATACAAAGGCCTTTAAATTGAATATTAGAGGAAAAGAGCTGGGGACTTCAAAATCAATTTGGAAGATAAAAGTTACATTGAACACCATTGAACGTTCAAAGTCATATTACAAAAAAATTTCCATACACCATGTTACACTACAATATTACAAAGCATTTCCATTATAAAATCATGTACCAAATCACAAATTGCAAAAAGGGGTCTTTACAAAGAAATAAGTTACATGGAATAATCTGTCAAAAATGTGAACTTCATGATCAAGTTTCAACCTTCATTTTGCTTTGACTTTCTCTCCAAATCCACTTCATGCCTTTAAATCAGCTGCATATTCACGCTCATTTCGCATTTCAAGTTGCCAGCATCATGGCTATAAGGAAGAACCTGCATCGAAACTTACATCATCAATACCATTCAAAATAGACTCTGCACCAAACAGGAGCAGTTCCTGCAAAATACAAAACCAATCCAGCAATATGAATTCAAAATAAAAATGGGCCAGTTTCGTAACATAATTCTAGAAAAAACTTAAAAAAACAGAAGGCATAACTGAATCCCAAGGTCTAAAAAGCCTCTTAACTGTCACAACAGAAATAACAAAACAAAATTTCCTAACTTTTCTACCCTAACCTCCTCTCCAACAGAAAAAAACATATAACAAACTTCCTAACTAATAGAAAAATAGCTCTAACCATAACCTGCTCTAACTACTAACAGAAAACCAAACATAATTTCTAACAACCTAACTACCCTGCATAAAAGAATTCCAACTTCCAAAACATTCCCTAACAGAAAAAACTTCATAACCAGTTATACAGAAAAATTCCCTAACAGTCCAACAAACTCTAACTAACTTCCTAACATCTCTTAACAGAATTCCAACTATGTTCTAACCATAACCCTTAGCCCTCTAACAAACTCATTTCATTCCAGTTACTAACAACTGATCCAATAACAGAAGATAACAAAAGGGAGGGGGATACGATTCACTTCGACAGAAAAGCAGATAACAAAAGAGGGCTCACAATTCATAATAGAAAGGGAAAGGAGATTCACGATTCAGTCTTCACAAGAAAACAAAAAATCAAAAAATCACCACAAAAACTCTCTAAAATTCTCCAAAGTTCTCTCTTCATTCTCTTTGAATTCTTCATCTGTTCATCATTCTTCAACTTTGGCAGAAAACTAAAAAACTTTGCATTCACAAAAAACATCAAGAGACTTCACTACTCTCTCTCTCTCTCTCTCTCTCTCTCTCTCTCTCTCTCTCTCTCTCTCTCTCTCTCTCTCTCTCTCTCTCTCTCTCTCTCTCTCTCTCTCTCTCTCTCTCTCTCTCTCTCTCTCTCTCTCTCTCTCTCTCTCTCTCTCTCTCTCTCTCTCTCTATTGAAATCTCTTCTACAATCGTCTTCATCATACAACACGTGAACACTTTTGCATCTTCTCTTCAACAAGAACTTCAACACAGTGCATGAACACAACGACCTCCAGTTCCCACGCTCTCAGCTCACAACAACAAGAGCACAAAAAAATGAAGAAGGAGAAGACAAGTGTAGAACATAGTAGAATCAATAGTCATAGAGTTAGAATCAATAGGTTTATTACCTTGAGGAATAACAACTTGGATTGGGGTTTCTTGTTCCCATCATCAACAAATTCTCCTTGCAACAAAAACCAGAGGAATCCTCCCCTCCGAAGGCCAGTTTATCGCTTATTCAATTATCTGCGTCGAATATTGTTTCCAGCTTGCATTACATACCATATTGAATCGTTCCCCTAAGGTCCCGAAGCGCTGATCACTACCATATTCATTTAATTCCACTTTTTCTTCAACTTTGGGTTTTTCTGAAAATATAGATTTAGGGATTTTGTTGGAGAATATATGAAAACAAAGGTCGAATATGGGATGAGGTGAAGGAGACAGAGAGGAGGATGTAGAAATATTGAGTGGTTGAGGGAGCTCTGCCTCCTTTGGCACGGTAGAGCGATTTCCGACCAGTTACCGTAAACGAAGAAGAATAAGTAAGATTTAAGAATTTCAGTGATGATAATGCGATACTGTTTCATAATTATTTTGGTATTTTTATTTCTTTTCACTAATTATACAAATGGAAAAAATGAGTGGTAATGTTTAGGATTGGACTTGGAGCCACTTCGATGGGCCTTTCTGCATGTACACCTCCCTAAGCATGTTATCACCATTTTTGGCACTAAAGGACTTACAAACAAAAGCGGTTTGGTGAGCTCCAAATTTGAATGGGTTTAGCACACAGATTTTCATTTCTAGGTTATACCTCTGCCTACAGTTTATTTCCCCTTTGGTTTCATTTAGTTTCTCTAAGTTTCTTACTTGTTATAATATTATTTCGTCAATCATTTTGTGTGATATGATTGGACAAACGAGACTTGGATGAAGTTTTTAAGAAGTTTATAAGCTATCTAAGAGTATAATTTTCGTCACGAGAATTCGAGGAAGCTTTTAGTAAAGTTTTCTTATTTCTTGCGTGATTATGAAGAGGCAAAAGACCTTCTCTGTTCGTTATCATAGCAACTTCATTTTATTCCTGTTTTCGTGCTTTATCGTATTTCTTTACCACTTTTCTAGAAATCATGAGAAGTATGGCTTTATTGGTTTATGATGCCATGAGAAGTAGGGTAGAGATGTATGACAGGGGTCTCCATTACTGATCATGTCAGGAACCTCTCTAGTTTTTTTAAAGACCCGTTTAGGGAAATTCCGCATGGTGTGCATTCTGTTTGCTACTTGTGTGTGGTTTTTTTAAAACCATGCCTTTGAGTAGGTATTCTGCAGGTGTGTTTATATTTTTGCTCGCATCTATTCCCATATCCCTTATTGAAGTCCTCAAAAGGAGGCGAGCAGGGATGGTTCGCAATCAACCCTTGCAATTTTGTCTCTGTCATCCTTAGTTCATGATGCACCACGATGCTTCAGAGTTGTGCCTGCTCTTGTTTATCGAGTCGTCAAGTGGGGAAGGGTTCTGCAGACGAACCCGCATGTTTTGTCAGGAGTTTGCATTGGCCAATGCCGATACTCCATGATCGTTCATATTGCCTTATGTCTCCTACCTCGATCTCCTATATCTTGGTTAAGTGTTCAGTCCCTTTGGACATCACGTATTTCTTTTTCATCTCACTCCCGCTTGTTTGTCTCAGGTGATACGCTCCCATTGGCTAAAACATTTAGTTTCTTTTCCTTACTCTTTTATGTGTGTGCTCTTTCTAGCTTTCTTGTTTTATCCTTGTATATACCATGTTCCCTTAAGATGCACTTTCTCCTTTCGGATGTAAGTTAGACCTTAGGGTTGCAAACCATGCATGGTAACATTAGGTAGAGATTTCCGTTTCATCCTTGACGTAGGGATACCATTGTATGATAAAATTAGGTTATAAATAGGCTAGTCTCCCTTAGACTCTTTTCTTCCCCTTTTTGAATATGTATTTAAAAATAAAACTTCCTTTCTTAGCAAATCAAAAAAATGCTAATCACCCTTAAACCCTTTCTCAAGGTAACAAAACACAAACCAATCAAATGTGTGCCTCGAGGGCATAACTCGAAACTTCTATCAAGTAAGGACATGATTAATTTACTTCAGTTCCAATGTGTGAGTCTCCAAAGGTCGAGTTGCGGCAAAAGGAGGAATTAACATCATCCATAAAAAACACAAAACAAATAAAACATGTGAGCCGAACTACGGTAACTATGATTCCTCAAAAAGGATATGTAGGCATTGGGGTAGGGCACAAGCGAGTACAACTTTATTTTCCCTACATTCTTTTCTCCTTTCTTTTGCATGCATTCTTCCTCAGAAGTAAACAGTAAGCATGGATTATACACACCCATAAGATAGATTACAAGAGTGGATACCGTAGAATACTATGGGTGTGTGGGGTGCTAATACCTTCCCCTCGCGTAACAGATCCCTTACCCGATCTCTCGATCGCAAGACCGTGACTTCTTCCTTCTTAGGTTTTCTCGATGTTTTACCTTTCCCTTCATATGGGATAAAAGACGTTCGGTGGAGACTTCATTGTTTGATGATTTTCAGCCGGTTATTTTAGCTGGCGACTTCACTGGGGACAGGGCGACCAATTTCTAGTCCATCCCGGAATCGCTCCTAGCTCTTGTTCCCTTTTCTTTAGGTGGTTATTTATATGCTTTACAGTTTATTCATCCATACATGTTTATTTGAGCATATGTTTGCATTGCATTTTAATGTTTTCCATATACTACGGTTGTACTGGATCTGCTTCTTGATTGGGTTGGGATATTACTATGAGGTAAAAGTCCCGGTACCCAGGCCAGAATGCACTAGGACACTAGGAATAGAGTGGAGCATGATGGATATTGGACGCATGTCCTCACTAGCATATTCATGTGGTCTGCGCTTGGTTGAGGTTCAAATGAATTACTACTGACACCCACATCTGTGGGTAAGGCGGTAGTACTTTCAGGCGGACCCAGGATTCCAAGTCCCCTTTGCCTTACCCTGGCCTAGTTTTCACCTGTGAGTGGGGATGGGATGATTATTACAGGTAGTGTTGGTGACTTATTCAGATGGTGACTATGTTCAGATGGTGATTGTATGTTCTGTTGGTGACTATGGTTCTCAGATTTATTTTTTGAGTTCCTGGCTTGTTTATTTGGAGGTTCATCCAGGCCTTCGATCTTGGTATTCCCAACATGTTCAGAAAAGTCTCAACATTATCCGGTGTTCTAGAAGCCTTGATCCCTTACAATTGATGATCTACATGGTACTTGGTTCTTATATGTCCAGAAGCTATGTTGCACCTTTGATCTGTTAATATTCATATGGTTCAAAAACAGTGCAGCAACCATATTCAGAAATAATAGAACTTTGATCCCATGTCTTTGCATACATAACATGGTTAACCACATGCTTAACATACATGTTCTATTATTTCCAGGGAATCGTATTTACAAGTCTTGTGCTAAAATCTTCCATGCCTTACTTGCGTAAAATAAAAATCAAAGCATGTAAATTCCTTGGGAATGATGGAACATGACATGGCATCCATTCATGCACCCCATGCACATCATGCATCCATAACAGGTACTCAAAGATTGGGGATTCTTATTCAGACTTGGTGCTCTCATCAAAGGTTCAGACTTAATATCTTACTGTATGTGTTCAGAGATCAGTATGGGATAACTCTGTGGGGGATTGACTGATACGAAGATCCCAATGGGGGTTGATTAGGGTACACATGCAAGCTTTGGCCCGTGGTCGGGAATTTTTTGAGAAGGAAGATAATCGATTGAAGACTCAAGTGAGTCGGGTCATGGAATTACTTTCAACCACAGAGTGATACACAATCTTGAGTTCTTGGAACGTCTTATCAGCAGATGGTTCCCACTTACTATGTGAATTCAAGAAACTTACTTTACCAGCGAGATTAGAATACGCCTGAAGAAGAATTGATCATATATCAATGCTTCTTTCTCATTGGTTCCCACACTTGTTTGAGTTTTAGTGGGTTAGACCACGTACTTCGGTAATGTCTATAAGTTCCCTTCCAGATTATGATACAAACATTAGATGTAGTTATCACACCAAGGCATCCGAATATGCAATCAGGGGCACTCTCCACAACTTGGCATTCCCTGATATGTTCAATAACAACCAATCTTTGTTCCCCGAGTGAATTCAAGAAGGAAAAAAGCTTTTAAGAAAAAACAGAAGAAGCTTCGTGAACATGCTGGTACAACCCCACTACATTACATCCAATTATTTCCTCTCATAGTTGAAGTTCAATTTGTAAAGCTCTGATCTTTGGGGTCCTCCTCCCACAAACATCTCTTCAGATCGTGATACACATGCTAGATGTATCCCTTATTCTGGAACACCTGGTTTTGATATTGAAGACTGTAAAGGGGTTGAAGTATAAAGTCCATCACTTGTATGACATTTCTTTCAAATTTCTAATTCCTATTTGGCCAACTGTCATATGCTAGATTATTCTGGGGCACCTGGCCATTCGATTGAAGATGGTATGTCATCCAGAGACAAGGTCCAAGATGGAATCAATCCAGAGACTGTTGTGTTTACATCAGATCTGAAAGGAGAATTCTCTCGCCCATTTAAGCATCAAGAATGCAGAAATTCTTCAAAATCAAGAAGTACATACGGAGTCAAGTCTCCTCAATGATGGCAATCATTGGTTTCTTTACCATGTTTTCATTTTCATTCTTACTCGTTTGTTTAAACATTGCTTCATGTAGAAACTTGCATATTTTTTAATAAAAATCTTAATGCAATAAGTATGCTTGTCTTTAAGTGTTCTTTTCATTTTTATTCATCCATTCGTTATCACTATGTAAATGTTTTACTTGCATATGACGATAATCTGAAATCGCAAAAAATCTCTGGTTGGAACGCTTTTGAGTAAGACTCTACTTAAAATGTACAAGCCTTGTTTCTATTCCTAAACACCAGAGATATAAGGGAGATAGACCCTCGTTAACCCCTCTGATCCTTCGAAGTATGAGTTTCTTTTCTGTTCAGACAAAACCCTCCTTTTAACCCTGGGGTGAGTAGTGTTCAGTAAATCTGATCAAGCATTCATGACCCATCAAGAGTGTGCATTTAATGATACAACAATGGTTATCCATCAAAAGTTTGAGGAAAGTCAAAACCATAATAGTTAACCCTCATCTATCAGCAACTTGCATCAACTAACGATATCCCAATGGGTATCTCTCGCATATAAGGAGGTCAAAATATGACGATACAACAATGGTTATCCCTCATCTACCAAAGACTAAGACAATCGCGGTCACTTCCAACAAATCAGAAATGGCATAAAGATCAACGGCTTGTTCAAAATTGAAATTATGAATAAGAAAGAAGCAAAAAGCCTCTCTAAGTCGAAACTTCTCCCAAATTGAAATTCAAAAGAACTTGCCGAGGAAAAAGAAAGAAAGAAATTGAAAATCCTAAAAGGCGAGAAAAGGATTACCAATAAAAACCCCTATCGAGAGAACAAGGTCGTGTGATTAGACACCAAATCAGAAGTT